GATCCGAGAGAGGATTGAGCTTGGTTCTCATTCGCCGTGCGAATCATGGTGCAGGCAATGCTGAACTCCCTTTCTCTTTCCCCTTTGTTTCGCTGTTTCATCTGGTTCAGGCGGAATATTGGTTGTTCCTTCACTCGTGTTCGATCTGCGTCAGTGTGAGTGCTGACTTGTTTCTTTTGTCCATGCGTTGCCGGATATGGTCATGATGATGGACATTAGGACTTCGGGAGGGCTCATTATTCGCTGTTCGAATATTGGTCAGGGGATTTGAGCCGTTTCTATTCGCTGTTTCGATCTGGTCAGCCGAATGTTGACTCTCCCTTCCTGTTGGCGGGTGCCCGCTAGAGTCGGGAGGATACTTCACCGCCTCTTCATTTCCCCTGTTTTATTTTCCCTGTCTGCGGGGTTGTTGAGTTTTCTTGCTGACCTCTTGTTTCTGCTGTTTCGATCTGGTCAGGCGAACATCGAGTCGTCCTTATTCACTGTTTCGATCTGGTCAGGTGAATATTGGATTTTGCTTCTTTGTCTTGCGTTTCGATCTGGTCAGGCGGACATAGACATTTTGGGAAGCTCTTTAATTTGCTGTTGCGATATTGGTCAGGTGATAATTGAGCTGTTCTCGATTTGCTGTTGCGAATATGGTCAGCAAGATTGTGAACTCCCTTTTCTTTTCCTACTCGTCGTTCACGTGTTTCGATCCTTGGTCAGGTTGAGCATTGAGTTTTTCCCCATCCACTGTTTCGATCTGGTCAGGTTGAATGTCGGGATTTTCTTTCGCCTTCTGTTTGCTGTTTCGATCTTGGTCAGGCAGACACATTGGCTTTTTCTCTTTCTTCTCGGCTCGTGTTCACCTGTTTCGATGGTCAGGTGACCTGGCTCTTCATTCACTTTTCGTCTGGTTCATGGTGAATGTCTGAGCATCTTTTTTTTCCCTTCGCTCTGCTGTTATCGATTGGTTCAGAGCACAGACGTTGGTTCTTTTTCTGATTTCTGCTCATTTCACTCGTTCTGCATCGGTCAGCACGGTGAGCTCGAGTCTTTCTCCCATTCCTGTTCGATCTGCTCAGGTGAATGTGGAGATCTTTCTTTTCCCTTCTGTTCTTGCTTTTTCGATTGGTCAGGCGGAAACGGCCGATTATCTCCGTATTTGATTACTCTTTTGCTTTTCCTTTGATTATTTCTCTTTGATATTCTTCTTTTGATTGGTTCGAAGTGACTGAAATTCCCTTCCCTTTGTATCATCTTTAGATTTTTGTCATTCAGGGTGATCGTTTGAATTCTACTGCGTTCTTTGCAGATTTTTCCTTTCTCTTACCTCCCATTTGGTTGGACGGAATGATTGATTTGTTCCTCTCTCTTTATTGATATTTTGTTCCCATTAGTTGATTGCATTTTCTTAGTAGGTTTCACTAGTTGACCTTGAGGTTGTATTAGAGTAGAAGTAACGCCAACATATACGGTTCACCGTTGTTCTCACGCCATATGTTTGGGGTCGTTTTTAACCTCATTTTGGCTCGATCCTGCTCGAGCGCTTTTCGATCGACTGATTGAACGCGTCGAGCCCAATTCGGAGCTCTCGAAATCGACCCGACTCGAGCCGGATCGGACTCGAACATTGTCTCGATTAAAGCTCGATTAATTTGTCTTTTTATCGCGCCGTACTCGCTTTGGATTTAAATTGATTATTATTTTGGCACTCAATTTTCGTGGCGATTGAATTCATTGAGCCGAGGTCGAGCCCGAATCCACTCAAATCGAGCACAAATTCGAACTGAGCCTTAAATCCGATCTTAGCCCATTTTATCTGATTTTAGCCTGATCCGACGCGATTAAAAGTCATTTGACTTATCTCGATTATTTTGAATTTTTTTTTTTCTAGATCGGGAAATCGTCTCGACGGCTTTTGATCGAGCGAAGTCTGCTGTTTTCAGCCGAAAATCCGCGCCCTCGCGAATTTTCTGCGATCAGGCAGACATCGAGCCGCTCGCTGAAACCTCTTTCGGGGTGATTTCAGAGACCGAAGCGAGCGACAGTGAGAAGCGGGCTTCCTCCTTCGGCAATGGATTCAATTTACTCACGACGAAGGCCTTCAGTTTTTGGAGACTCTCGCCCACGCCTTCGCTCTCTCTCGTTCCCATGCTCCAGCAAATCAAGAAAAAAAAAACTCCTCTCCCCCTCTCAGACCCGAACTCCTTCTCCCCCTCTCTCACGCGTCGCTCTCCCTCTCTGGTTTTCTTCTCCTTGCGTGAGATACCCGACGCCGACCTCTCTCCCTCTCGACCTCCTCTGTTCGCAGAACCCACCCAGTTCGCAGGTCCAGGGGAGACCGACGCCTCCGCTCACGCTCCCTTCTCCTTGCGTGAGATACCCGACGCCAACCCCAGCAAGCCGGATCTCCCCTGTTCGTACGACCCCAGCCGAACCCGAGCCTCCGGCTCTGTCCGACGGCAGCTCCACCGAACCCGAAGCTAGCTCGACGACACCGGCCTCCCTGTGTTCGCGAAACTCCAGCCCGACGCCTCTACGCTTCCGATCTCGCCTGGCCGAAGCTCGTCCGACCCCGAAGCTCTCGGCTTCGCACACCTGACCGAACCCGACACCAGCGTCGCCCCCTTCGAGCTTGTTCGACCTCCTTTAAGGCCGCAGGTAGCTTTCCCTCCTTCCTATTCTTCTTCTTCTCCTTCTTACTTCTCTTCCTTTTCCTTATTTTTTTTTTCCTGAAATGTTTTCTTTATTCTTCATTCTTCTCAACTTAAGTTTTGTGGAAGATTGAGTTGATGAGAAGCTTCACTCATGCAAGGTTTATCTTACTTGATTAGATTTGAAAGTGTGGATAGAAATCTCATGTTGTCTTTATTCTATGAATGTCTAAAGGAATGCTTTCGCTCCCTGTAATAATTTCGCGATGGCTTGCGTAGTTAGTCATAGCATCATGTGTTAATTTGCTTTTCCTACTTGGCTTATTGCTCACGTTGTTTTGAGATGGTCAATTAGTTTATAAATCCGCATTTTGTTTTATGTTACATGATTTAGAATTTAGGTGTGAACTTTGCAAATATGGGAGAAGCCATTTTGATCCCCTATCATGATCATGCATATAAGGTGTTTGGTGGAATACCCTCAAGAGATTTTTGTAGTATCTTTTGGGTGATTTAGTGGATGACAAGTTACACCTATGTAAAACTCTCTTCCTATTGTCTTTTGGCTAAAGTTGAAAGTGTGAGTAGTTTTTTTTTATGATACATTTGTCACTGCATCTCTAGTATTCTTGCTCCTAATAAATGTATTTATTCTCTAAACCAAATGTTTTGGTTCTTTGTGATGATCGCAATTGACTTTGTTATAATGTGTTGTTTTTTTTTAGAACTATCCAAGGTGTTGATTTATTTTGTTCGAGATGGCTAATTAACTCATGAACTCACATTCGTTTTATGTCAAAAGATTTAGAACTTAGGTGTAAACTATAAAATGCATAGGAGGTTCTTTTGATTTCCTCTACCATGGCACGAGAGTAGATGTTGGTCGTAGAGCAATTGTGATTTCCCTAGTTATGTGATTTATATTGCTAGTAACGTGCTTAGCTACGAGAGCTCATTAATGGTGAAATTCGGTTATGTTTTATTTGCTCAAAGCAAGTTTTGCATAAAAGAAAACTTACACATGGTGAAATTTAAAGCCCTTTGCTTCTCTACTATTTAATTCATGTTTCATTTATTAGCATCATCATGGCGACTTGATTAGAAAGCTCTTTTGGTTTATTCACAAAACTTGTCTTGCCTTAAGAAATCTCTTAGAATTTTTTTTTTGAAACATTGTAGATTGTATGTGATGAGTTGGAGAATGCATCTACCATTACTGTTTGTTTTCTTTTTAGTCTTGTCACATTTATTCAATTGTCAGCTAAAAAAATCTCATAGGATGTAGGCAAATTTTGTGTCAATTTTGTATTGCTTACAAGAAGAGTTTGTGTGTAAGATTTCTACTCGTTCATGGGTTGCATCAAATGATGGATTGTTTGGAGTTCCATGTGTAAACTTTCTTTGGGGATTGTGAGAAGCTTGGCGAAACATGTATGCAAGGTGTATGTTTATGCTTGTTGAAAGCTAGTTTTATAATTTTGTTGGCCACCGTGAGTTTTATAATGACACAATTTATATTGTTAGAAGGCATAATTAGCTACAAGGAGTTAGTAAATTTAAATACATTTATGCTTGCTTTAGATTTGGATCCTTTCTTATCCCTTTAAGCTTTTCAAAAAAATGTATGTTGGCAAGTATTAATGCTTTGTGAAAATTCTTACAGTTGTTTTTATGGATTTCTTCCTCAATTGTTTTGTAAAAAAAAAATTCGATTTGAAGACCTTGCATCTTTGTCTTTTTTTTTTTTTTTTTTTTTACTTTGAGAATTCGTTGGAGGAGTCGCATATTTGTGTTGATTTTTTTTAGCATGAAGTTTGTTTAATATGGGCCAAAGAAGTGAAGTGGTAACAAGTTCTTTTAGTCTCTTTTATAGAATTGAGATATAAGTGTTAGAACTCTTTTCATTGGATATTCTAAATTGTGATGGCATTATTGAATTCCTCATTAAGTTTTTTTTTATTGAAATGGAATCAATTGTATTAGTTTCATGAATGGAAGATTATTACATGCATGACTGGATATTTTATTAGGAGATTTTTTATGTATGATTATATTCATATCATTCCACTTACGCTTGACTTGATAATGTAGCTATGGAAATTTATTAGAGAATCTTCATGCATATTTGGGTTGTAGCATATGTGGATGTTTTAATGAAGAGAGTGTTGGTTTAACTTGTAAAATGGTTATGATTTGTTTTATGGTTTAAAATCTGAAAAATACATGAATTGCTTTTGAAGTTAATGAATCGCCTTCTTGTATCTTTTTTGTTATAAGGCTTAATGAGTGTGTTTTGCATTCGAGAGGTTTTGTTTCAATGAATTTTGCGGAATCGGCTTGTGTTGAGATTCTATGTGTTTTTCGGTTTGTGAATGTTTTATGATAAGAGCTATGCAATAAGAGATTTTTTAAAATACTCCTCGGGGGTTGGGAAGCTTTATTTTTTTTTTTTTTTTACCCACTCCATAATATAAAAATAAGAGCACTTGATCTATTAGCGTTATTTGCGTCTAGGATTTTTGTGGTCAAACAAAAAATTAGGGTTGGATGATTATCTTTTGTAAGATTTGTGTGATCAAAATTTGGAAAAGTCAGTGCAAGTCTTGTAGTTTTGATTAAACTTGTGAGGTAGGCCCGCCTTTAGTGCGTTTTAAGAGACGACTAGTACCTTTTCTTTGAGTTGATATTCTCTAGTGGTTCATTTCTAAAATTATATGAGTTGATTTTAAACAGTTTAGAGCTTTTATGTTAGAAACCTTTAGTGTCCTTTTGAGACAGATCAGTCTCCTTCTCCTTTGTATTCCTCCCTTGAATAATAGTCTATAAAAACATGGAATTTTGGCTGGATTGAGTCAAAACCATAGAAATCTAAGCTTAAGTCTGGCTTAGAAGTCACCTCCTTGGGATCTAGCCTTTGGTTTAAGGTTGTCGGGATAGTCGAGTCAACGTATCGGTGCGCTCATTGTTGAGTGGGAATAGCCAACAAGGGCATCGTTTGCTGTTATAGGAATGCACTTGATTCTTACGCAGTGTATTCCATAACGAACGGATGCCTACACCCTTTTTGTGATTCTGTTTTCTTTCGTGTTTTTCCCCGTTGTTTGTTTATATGATTTTTGGTGGCTATATGCTTGCCAAAACAAGGAGAACCTAGACATGGCTCAACAAAATCAAAGGTACGTTCTAGTTTTTATTGCTTTTTTTCATTTCTTACTGTTGTTTATTGCATAGAACTGCTCTAATACTCTCTTCTATATATCTTTGGCGAGGTACTTTTGGAAAGCAATGGACAAGGAGCACTTGGAGCTGGAGCTAGGACAACCGGATCCGAGCATCAGTCGTCTCCTACTCATCTAGTAGGAGCTACGGGGGACCACCGGGTCGTAGCCCCGGTGCCTGTAAGCTTTCTAAAAACTTAGAAAACCTTTAGGGCTAGATGATTGTACGAATCCCAACCTTAGGGCCTTGTAGAAACTTCAATTATATATTTAGGATTGCTCTTGTTTTACATTTCTTTTAGAACCTCAACCTGTGACATCCGTATAGAAGTCTTAGGAATTAGAAACACTGTTTTTTAGCCTACAACGTTAGCGTTACACTTAAGGACAAAATTAGGACCGAGTCTTAGAAAATATTAGACTTATGGCATGTCCTATAGGGTAGAGACTTTGAAAATAACAAGTAGTGGCACGTTTTCCCTAGATTTTGATTTATTTTCTTATCATAATTAATCAATAATGATCTTAACGCTAATTCTTTAAAACTATTAACACTGAATCTTTAATTAAATATATTATTAACATTCTTAACTAGTTAAACTTAAACCTAAAATTGAACCTAAATCAATTCTAATTAATCTAATATCAACCTTAATCAATCTAAGAATTTAATAGAGTAGATTAATAGGAGATCAAATTACTGAATTAAATGCTTAGCGATAATACACTTCTATAGTAAACCTAGAATATACTCTAAATCATAACTAATTGATTAATTAAATACCAAATTACCTTTTCTTTTCTTTTCTAAAAACTTTATAATAATTAACAAGTAGTTATTATCTGGGTAACCCAGGCCTACGAGGACTAATTAAAGTTAGCAACGGGAGGGTGAAATAAACCTCACGGCTGGGGTGTGAAACAAAGTGATGTTAATTTAAACATTAAAAATAAAATATTCCTAAAATCACTCTAAAACATTAGATTTAAATTTTATACTAATAACTACTTGTCTATTCCAACCTTAAAATACAAACAACTTTAACTAAACTCACTATATTAGACCTACAAACCCTACGGCTTTCACATTAGATCGATTTGATAGACACGACTATTAGCTCTAGGGTTAGGATGTTGTTCTGTTTTAACTTTTTCTGTCGTTTGTTGTGACCTTTGCATGTGACTGTGTGTGGTTGTTCTTTTTGCTATCTGTTTGTAGTTTTTCTGCTGTGTTGTTTCTGTAACTACTTTGTTCTAGTCTTCTATTTTCGTGCACTGTTGGCTGTGACGTTATTTGAATACCATAGGTTAGGTACGTTTTGATCTAATGCTCGTTTCTTTCTTGCGTGGCCGTGTCATATAATGTTCGTAAAGGGGGCAAATGAATAATATATATACTGGCTTTAGGTACCTTGATTCAGCTTGGTTCAGCCCTATCAGTAGCACGGGCAAGTGTTGATGGTGCGCATTTTTTATTCACTATATAATGCTTGGATGAAATTTTATTATAATGCTTAGGATATCACCGTGCGGAGATCCTATGATTTTTTTGTTTTTATAGTGTCATGTTATTTGATAGTAAATATTGTGAAATTTAAAATAAGGCATTTTAAGGAGAAAGGACATCCAAAGGGAAAGTAACCCCTAACAGGGGGTTCCTTTTTCATTTGGATATTTTTTTGGAGCACTCCACTCGAAGGAGTAAAGGGAAAAGTA